TAGTAAGTTTTGGAGATGAGAGTCTGTTTTGGGTGAAAAAGAAGGTAAATAACATGTATAACCGACTTTTACGAGTTGGGGCTGAGTTGACTCGGCTTAAAACTCGGTTTGACCACTAATCACTAAAAATCGCATAACTTTTCGCTCGGACCTCCGTTTTTGACGTGGTTTTCGCTCACGCGTTCGTAAAGAGATAATCTACAACTTATAATTAATAAATAGTTTTTTCATTTATTTATTTATATGCAAGATCGAAAAGATGAATCTATTGCCCTGCCTCCAAGAGTCCTGATCGATTGGCTACCGGGTGTTCACTCAAGAAAGTAGCCCCTATCTCTAAAAGGAAATATTTCAAAAAATATCTTCCAATAAAAGTCAGTTTTTATGTATCCGTAACGTAGATATTGATGCTTTTGACCCGTTTCTTTCCAATTGTTTTTCCCCGGGCCTTATACGATGATTCCGACTGCTTCATATATAGTTTATTGCATTCGGGTTTGCTTCCAAATTTTATGTTTTGATCACATAAACACGTATGAAGGGGATAATTGCAACGTATTTACAAAAGTGTATGTTACAATTACCTCCTCCTTTTGAGGATTCTGTCCTCGGAATCTTCATTTCTCGAATAGCTCGGGATATTTGGCAAGCATCTGTTCTTTGTTCTCCCACGTGAAATTCGGACCACGATGATGCTCCCATTTCACCAATACCAAATCGATTGTCTTGTTTCGAAGATTTGCGGTTCTTTCGTTTAGAATTTCTTCTGGTTCCTCGATATATCTCAGTCATTCGTCAATCTTCACCTCAGCTAAGGGAATTGTTTCATCATACTTACCCAAACACTTTCGAAGATATCCAACATGAAATATATTGTGAATACCAGACAGCTCTTCTGGAAGTTCAAGTCGATATGCTTGTTTGCCAATACGTTCAATGATTTTGAATGGTCCAACGAAACATGGACTAAGCTTACCTTGCTTACCAAATCGTAGAATACCCTTGCAAGGGGAAACTTTCAACATAACCATGTTGCCCACGGTGAATTCAATTGGTCGTCGACGATTATCGGCATACGACTTCTGTCTGTCCTGAGCGACTTTCATCCTTTCCCGAATAACTTGAATCTTATCATGCGTAATTTGTTTCGGGTCCAGCAAGCACTTTCTCACCCGTCTCACGCCAACATAGTGGAGTTCGACATTTACGACCATATAAAGCCTCAAAAGGCGCCATACCGATAGTCGAGTGATAGCTGTTGTTGTATGAAAATTCAACCAATGGTAGATGCAAATCCTAACTACCACCAAACTCAAGGATACACGAACGCAACATATCTTTTAACGTCTGTATCGTGCGTTCGGACTTGCCATCAGTTTGGGGATGATAGGCTGTGCTCAATACCACGCGTGTCCCTATTTCTCGTGGTAAACTGGCCCAAAATTTCGAAGTAAATCGAGAATCTCGATCAGAAATTACCTTTAGAGGAACACCATGTCGTGCAATAATCTCGTCGATATAAATTTGTGCCCATTTATCCATAGAATACGACTCTCGAACAGATAGAAAGTGAGCACTTTTGGTTAAACGGTCCACGACAACCCAGATGCTGTCATGCTGACAAGACGTCTTCGGTAGCTTTGTAACGAAATCCATTGTAAGTTCCTCCCATTTCCATACCGGTATATCGAGAGGTTAAAAGGCTACCATAAGGTTTTTGGTGTTTAGCTTTAACCTGGGAACACGTAACACATTGTTCCACATATTGGCCGATATCACGCTTCATTCCCGGCCACCAATATTCATATCTCAAATCGTAATACATCTTTGTACTTCCTTGATGCACGGACATCCGCGACTTATGTGCTTCAGATAATACCAATTCCCGAATACCACCGAGTTTTGGAATCCAAACACGTTCCTTGAAAACTTTAAGTCCTCGACTATCATCTGTCAAATACGAAACATAACCAACTATACGCTCGGTTTCACACGATCAGGCTTTAAAGCCTCTACTTGCCATTTTCGTATGTTATCAACTAGTGTGGATGTCACGGACATACGTGTAATAGCATAACACATCGAGTTTGCATACGTCTTCCGGCTTAAAGCATCTGCAACAACGTTAGATTTACCTGGATGATAGAGAATTTCACATTCATAGTCTTTAATCAGTTCCATGGCTCGTTGTTGCCTCATTTTAAAGTCTGTTGAGTGAAGATATACTTCAAACTCTTATGATCTGTGAATAGTTGACATTTGGTACCATATAAATAATGACGCCATAATTTTAGTGCAAAAACGATCGCTGCCAACTCAAGATCATGAGTTGGATACTTCTTTTCATAATCTTTCAACTGTCTCGAAGCGTATGCAATTACGTTGCCTCGCTGCATGCATCGCTGTAAACTACCAAGTCGTCACTACCTTCTACTAAAGCTAGAACAGGAGCATCTGACAAACAAAGCTTTAACACCTGAAAAGCATTCTCTTGAGCTTCACCCCATTCGAACTTGACATCTTTCCGGGTCAACGAAATTAAAGGCATGGTAATTTTAGAGAAATCTCGTATGAATCGTCTATAATAACCCGCGAGTCCAAGAAAACTACGAATCTCAGATGCATTCTTAGGTTGCTCCCAATTCTTTACAGCTTCAACTTTCGACGGGTCAATCGACACACCGTCACAAGAAATCGTATGACCTAGGAATTGCACCTGACATAGCCAAAATTCACATTTCGAAAATTTAGCATATAGACGCTCTTGTCGAAGTGTTTCAAGCATCTCACACAAATGCTTCACGTGATCCGCTTCAGATTTGGAATATACAAGAATATCGTCTATAAACATGATCACAGATTTGTCCAACATTGGTCGGTACACGCGATTCATCATATCCATGAACGCTGCAGGTGCATTAGTTAAACCAAATAGCATAACTAAAAATTCATAGTGGCCATAACGTGTACGGAAAGCCGTTTTCGATTCATCTTCTACACGCACTCTCAGTTGATGAAAACCCGACCGTAAATCAATTTAGAGAAGTAACTCGCACCTTGCAATTGGTCGAACAAATCATCGATACGTGGAAGTGGATATTTGTTCTTGATCGTTACTTTGTTTAACTCACAGTAATCGATGCACATA